TGTTGAAAACACAAGTTCTACCCCAGCATTGTTACATGGTTTCTCATAAGAGCCACATAGCCTGGAAGAAAGGGCCCCCGCTATATAAAAGCGCTAAGTGGGGCTGATGGTATTTAAGTATAAGGTTAAAGGCAGCCAGTGACCTAGAATGCAGCACAGAGATGGTACCTGAAACCAAAAGGGTGCCCATCCCATGTATCTATCCCAGGGGTGGGCAAACTTTTTGGCCCAAGGGCCACATCTGGGTAAGGAAATTGTATGGTGGGCCATGAATGCTCACAAAATTGAGGGTTGGGGTGTGGGAGGGGGTGCAGGCTCCAGTTGGGGGTGAGGGCTCTGTGGTGGGTCCAGAAATGAGGAGTTCAGGGTGCAGGAAGGGGCTGAGAGCTGGGGCAGGGGCTTAGGGTGCAGGGGGGGAGTGAGGGCTCTGGGGTGAGGCTGGGGATGAGGGTGTAGGGGTTCAGCTGACAGGAGGGGGATCAGGGCTGAGGCAGGGGGTTGGGGCATGGGAGGGGGTCAGGCTCCAGGCGGCACTTACCTTAAGCAACTCCCAGAAGCAATGGCATATTCCCCCTCTGGAATGTGGAGGCGTGGCCAGGCAGCTCTGCGTGCTACCCTGTCTGCAGGCACCGCCCCTGCAGCTCCCATTGGCCGTCATTCCCAGCCAATGGGAGCTGTAAGGGTGGCACTTGGGATAGGGGCAGCATGCGGAGCCCCTTGGCTGCCTCTACATGTAGGAGCCGGAGGGGAACCCGTTGCTGCTGTTTCCAGGAGCCGCATGGAGCAGGGCAAGCCCCCGACCGGAGTGCCGAAGCGGGGCAAGCCCTGAACTCTGCTCCTCGGCGGGACCTCGAGGGCTGGATTAAAATGTCTGAAGGGCCAGATGTGACCCTCAGGCCGTAGTTTGCCCACCCCTGATCTATCCAGTGGTCCAGTTGTTCCCTGGATGTTGCTTTTCACTCTGTTGGGCACGTGCCCATGGTGGAGACTACAGCCATGCTGGCATTTCCCACTAGCAGTATAGATTTTGTACCACTCGTTGAACACTTGGATTGAAGCCTGAACCATAGGTTTGGGTTTTGTTTTGTTTTTAAATGTCCTTTTTATTATAACTCCTCCTGCTAGATGGCTGGGATGGTGGAAGATAAATAGATGGATCAGTTGAGCAGTCACAGCGCTGCCTTCTACCAGCTTCCAATGGAAATATCTCAAGTGGGCCTGGTTCTGTAGTGTAACCGCAGTGCCTGGCCCATGAGTGAGGGGTGGGCATATCTGCGACAGTGCCTAGGCCATAAACTTCAGCCGAAACCAAGTAACTGTGTGTCGGAAAGAGGTTCTACATCTTCCTCTGAGTGCAGGGTGAGCCCCCACCTGGTTATGCTGTTTGAACAATAACCTGAGCACCTCTCCTGCAGCCGCACACAAATTCAGGCTTCTGTGTGGCCATCGGCCCGTAGGCCACAGATGGGGTGGGAGCACCGTTCCTGCTGGGGGTTTGGAGAGGGGGCTCTGCCGCCCCAGGAGAAACTGGGACACAGGACTAGAAGGGACCTCCTGGATCACTGCATGTAGATCCCTATCGCAAGCAACTGTCATAAGCTTACCAAGCTCCATCTTCAAGGGAGAAGCCTGAGCTTTTGGGCACAGAATGTACCCGCTAAAGGGAAAAGCTAACTGCTGAGGGCTGAATCCTTTAGATGCATGCAAGCCTTTCCCAAGGATTTCTGTTAAGTTTTGATACATAAAGGCAACGTAGAAGAGAAACCACCTCTTAAGTTGTGCTAGACTTCTGCCTTTGTTTCAGTGCTCCTGCTTGGCCCTAGGGCCAGCATTTGCAGAATTCCAAGCGTCGAACTCCATGAGCTAAGTAACCAGGTTCAGGACGTACAGACCTTTGGGGGGAGCAAACCCCATGGTGAATATCCGGTACTCTGGGTTCTGCTGTTGGGATCTGCATGGCTGCAGTGTTTGTAATGCAGAAGAGCAGGGGTAGGAGCATAGCTGCCCAGCAGTGGAAGGTTATAATCCCGTTGAAGATGTGACATTGGCACAGGCCTATAGTTTAGCTGAACTGAAGAGAAGGGAAACAATGAACTAAGGATCAGGACAGGAGCTGCCCTAGGTGTGAGGGCCCTATTGTTTGGGCCACTTACAAATAGACTGGGCCAGCAGGAGCCCTGGGGTTGAATGCTGGCTCTGCTGCTGACCTGAGGCATGGCATGGCTCCCCTCCTTGCTTCTGGTTGTTTGGGGCAAGAATGATCCCTGGAGGGGTGGGGCCCAGCACTCTCTAAGGCCACAGAGCAGCGGAGGTGGATGAACTGCTGGGTTCTCAAACTGCTCCCAACATGCCAGCAGCTCCCCTCCCAGCTGAAGGTCTCAGCTCCCCCTGGTAACTGCAGGAATCACTTCTGGGGACAGTGTCTCCGAGGTAATGCTCGCCGGAGGCCGAGGAGTGCGCTAGCACCGAGTGAGTGACGCTTTCCCTGAGCTACCCCAGGGCGTTGCCTGAATCTCCATGCTCTGGAGTGGAGCTTCTCCCTGCTGCTGTTTCGCTCCCGGGAGAGACAATATCTTCTCTGCTGGCCCAGCTGCGGGGGCGACAGCTGGCTGAGTGCACACAGAGCTCTGGGCTGTAAGCTCAACCACTTGTCTCTACCACCAACACGACGCCCCCGACCTCAGCCCCCAGCCCTGCATGCACCAAGGGACGGCGGCGATGTTTCACAGGCCGGCCCAGGGGCCTCACTGGAGCAGCCAGGCACTGGAGCCGTAGTGGGTTTATTAGGAGTGCGGCGCTGGATCAAACCAGGCCTCACAGCCAGGATATAAAAATAATGTCTACAAAGGAGCAGTTCCTGTTTCTTAAAGGCATAGTATGTTACACATTCATTTCCCCACCCCCACCCCCCTGCACTGTGAGGAGCGGCTGTGAGTGATACCAAGCAGCTGGCGTTTTGCCTCTTAATTACAGCAGGAAGCGATCACTGCTCTGGCCCTGCTCTAAACGCCTGGCCGAGCAAGATCTGTGGCAGCCGTGAGCCCTGAGTCAGGGCGAGAGAAGGGGGCTAGCACAGTAGTAAATGCACCTTGCAAGCAGGGGGCTGCTTCAGTCCAACAGCGAATGGCTCTGAGGCGTGAGACTCGGGGCTGGAGGGGAGGGGCTGGGGAGCTGCAGACACAGGCCTCGCTGGCCCTGGGTGCACAGCCATGCAGCGGGGCAGGTTACACACTGGAGTAGCGCTGCACCTGGGGTTGCTGCAGCTGGCCAGAGCCACGTACCTGCTCTGCAGCCAGGACGGCAGAACTGCATTACTGCAGCCCCCTGGCAATGGGGGCACCCGTGCAGCCAGCTGTGTGCGCTTAGGGCTTTGATAGACGTGCCCAGGCCAACCTTGCAGCCCAGAGCCAGTTGGTCTGATTGTCACTCATCTGCCTGGGAAAGGCTTAGCCATGCAACAGGCTCCAGCCTTGCCCAGGGCATAGCGGGCACTCCGTCTGCGCGGGGGGGGAGGGGGTGTGTGTGTGTGTGTGTGTGTACAGAAGTTATGGGGAAAGGGTGCCACCTTGTGGTGACATGAGGAATAGTGATGCTTTACCCCTGTTGATTGTCGTTTCTGAGCCGCCCTGGTTCCTGGGGATGAGAGAGGGGCTGCTCCCATGATCCATCCCGCCCTCCCTCCTCCGCGCAGCGCAGCTTAAAGAGAAAGCCAAGGAAGACATTTAAAAGCCACCCTAAAATACCCTTCCCACGTCAGGTGACCAGCGAGCAAGTGTGACTGTTCGGGACATGGGGGGAGTAGAGGTGCATATGTAGGACAAAGCCCCTTGGAGCAGGACGGCTGGTCAACCTAGTCCCACCTGCCAGCCAAGAGGGTTTGTGCTCTCCCTGCCTTTCAGCTTAGCGCTGCCCTGTAGGTCCCCCCCTGCAGCCAGAACCTGGGCGCTCTGTCCTCACTACAACACAGAACAGGCAGGGGCCAAGGAGCAAGGCAGTGTCAAGGCCTATTGGGGGGCTGGGGTCAGGGTCAGCCCTACAGCAGCAGGAGAAGGGAGGTCACCGTACAAGATGCAGCCCATGGACTGTAACCCGAAGTGAAATTGGCAAGCAGGAAGGCAGGGCTAGAACAGACCGTGGGCAGAACCCCCTCAGTGGCTGTGCTCCGGCCCAGCATGTGGTGTTGCTTGAGGGAGAAGAGGGATGGGAATCGCTACTGGGG